ACCCGGCTGTGTACCTCCAACTAGGATACAGATAAAGGACTGATTTAAATGTAAATGCTAATTCTCTATAGCTGAATGTGGATCTGTAAGGAGCTCCAGACTGACAAAAGAGCGTGGAAGGATAGAATAATTGAATATGAAACCATTGAAAATGAATATGATAATAATTTAGTGAAAAAATAAAAATGTAGTGAATAAAAATTCCTGAAGCTTGTGTTTTTTCCCCTAAACCTTAATAAGTTCACTCATTTATCTTTTTTTGTTATTTTTCAACTTTTTGGTGGTACTGTTCCTACTTTCTACTCCCTGTTTTCCCAACTCAGCATTTTCCATTTTCCAGGTCCAGGGTTTGCGTGTGTGCAGGTTCTCGCATAGACTTTAGGGGGTCCGAGCAGGGAGGTGTGTGACAACAGGTAGCGATATGGAGGTTGGCTGCTAGCCTTGTTCTACAAACAGTTTTATCTCACCCAGACAAACTCGGAAATGATGAACTTAAACACAACACGCGACAAGCTGCCAACAAAATTGACATTATTCAAGTGTTGTTTCAGTAATACAAGATCTTGGTGCTTACCTCCAACCCGCAGCTTATCAGTCGCTTCCTGTCCGCCTCTTTTGCCCCTGTTGTCTGTTTTTACTGGAAGCTGTAAGCACACACACACACACACACACATAAACACAAACACACACACACATGAGCAGAGTACCTTCTTCTTGCTTCTTTTGTGGTATGCCACTATGCTTACACTGTTAAGAATGTCTGTAGATTTTAGGGCGAAAAAATGTCAAACAATGACAGTAAAATACCGTAAACTCTAAATAGGTGAAATACAGTTTCTGTAACAGTGAAACACTGTCATTTTTCATGGAAAAACTTTTATTTATACAGCATTTCAAAGGAATTTATATGGAATAAGGTTGTTGTTTTTTTTATTCCACAGAAAACCATTGTCATATCTCATGGCAAAAGTGACGTGACATAGTTTGGAAGTTAGTCTTGGTGTAGTATTCCACTTGGACAGTGTGATGTAAAAACTTTTAGCCACCAGTGCACATCCACTTAGAATGGACTTTACAGTGAAGTAGGAGACATCTTGTGTCCAGCAACAAAACTCTAGAAATCAACAACATTTGCATATTCAGATATTCTGGAAGTTGTAATGAGGAAGTTTATTGTGGAAATTGTACTGTTTTAGTAGAAATAAATATATCAGATACACATTCCGAACAGACTATTGTGTCTTAATACATGTCTGGAGGGGAGCTTTAAGAGATAAGTAGAAAAGTAGTTTTTAGTTTAAGCAATTTACCGGAAGTTAGGACAAATACCAAGATATATATGTCTTACACACTACATTGTATTAATTTACTGTATTATCTACTGATGTATTCAGTCATATTTTTGGCTCATCTGATAACCTTTTGAGCTCCATAGATCACTTATAGTATAAGGATAACAACCTATCCTACCCTATTGGCTGGTAACATGGGATTTACATAGTTCCGAGCTGGCAGCATCAAATGTAATGGCAAGCTTAATGATAAACATGGAGTGACGGACTGTGATCAATGGCACTCCATCCTGGTGAACAAGCAGAAATCATTCACGCAGCCCAGAGGTCAGGATGGTCAATATTTGCCACAGTCAGTAGAGGCCATCTGTGTATCTCAGTCGTGTGCTGCTATTAAGACTTTTTTTCTTTTGATGTGGCGGCAAAATGCGAGTGTGAGGAGGAGGGGATTGGACAACCGTGACATCCTCGTAGCAGGGAGTCCACGCTTTGAGGAAATAGAAAAAGAATAGGAAGTGGGTGATTAAACATCACAGAGTGCGACTGTGCCAAAAAAAAACATGCTTCACTGTAACATAAAAAAGGGCCCTACGTTTAGATTTCTCGGCACATAATTGCTTCTCTAACGGAAGATGGGTGTTTAAAAGCTTTCCTCTCTATCCGAGTTATATGCTGAACAATTAACTATAACACAACCCCGCAACTGTAATGGCAGAACATGGGAATGGAAAAGTTGTTTTTATACATAACCACCTGTCACAGCTTGGTGTGAAATGAAAGTCTTGTCATTGGATTGTCACCTCCTGAGAGGAGCCCAGGCTCCTGCATTAGTAGCATAAAACAGCCTCCCCTGTAGCCACTTCTGCCTACTTTAGGCCACACTACCGGTTCTTTGATATCCTCATAATCCAACCAAGCTCCTGTGTGCTAGCCTGGATGTCACATAATATCCCGGGGAAGTAAGAAAGCTACACCAGTCGATCTCAATCCTCAATTATTTTACCCCTGATTTACCGTAATGCTGTGTACAAACCGTCTCTACAGTAAGAAGGCTGTAGAGTTGCATTATTTTTACCCTCCTTTGCACCATTTTCTTCTAATCTCCACAGGGTCATAATATACCAGACTTGGTGGTATAACATCTAGGCGCACTTCCTCCCAGGGCTTGTTTACTGAATGGAGAAAGTGGAGGTTTACCACAATTTTGTCAGCTTGGATTAGGTTGGGGGTTAAAGCGATTTCTTTGGAATCCCGGTCCAATTATTAAAGTGACAATAAATCCTTTCCCCATGTCAAAAGCCAGGCTTTAGGTGCTGAATCAAAGGCTTTAAACAGATTGAGATGCTAAACAAAGAGCAGTTCTTGTTAACTGTGTGAGTCTACAATTTTTTTCATTTTTGTTTTTAAAAATGGCTGCGATCTAAAACTCCAACTTCCTTTTCTATGTCTATTAATGATGCCATTTTACGTCAATGCACATCTAGGGTTTTTATATTTTCCAAGAGTTCAAAGCGTTACATTAATATTGTGCCTGCTTTAGAGACAGCCCTTACATAACGATCAAAAGCTTGCTGCTCTCCTTTGCTGTAAGTGGAATTTAATACAGGCATCGGATTAGGGTGATCAAACATGCAAAGAAATGTTCAAAACCAGCCATCTGCTGCTGACTGCACAGGTTCCTTTTGTCTCCATTGAAACCTGAGATCAAAATAACAAATTTTATAGAGGCATTTTATAGTGGCAAATTCACATTAAATGGAAAGGCCTTATACCTACAAGAGGGAGACATTTTTACTTGTCATTAACTGAAAAAGCAAGTGTAACTTATAACATCAAATATAACTTAAGCTACATTCGGACTGGAATAACATTACAGGGGTAGGTGAGGAATGAAATACTCATTGTGCTCCTCCTGTGTATTACATTACGAAATTACAGTGTACGTTCTGTAACAGACATGGACATTCAGCAGGACAAAAGGGGAAGAAAAAAGCCTCCCCAGGGGAGCAGGAGAGAGTTGAAGGGGAGGTAAGGAGAGAGAGATGTGAGGCTAAGATACAGCGTGAGGGGAATTTGAGTCAAAAATCGCACTGCTTCTCGGAGTGATAACTCAGTCAAATGTTAACACACAGACATGAAATACATACTGATATCATTCAGTGTGACGTACACGTGTCAAGGATATCATTATCTCTGATGTCCATCACAAATAAACGTCTATAAGTCTGCTGTGAAATCATAGAAAAAGATGCTTCAAACTGAGAATCTTTTAAGTTCTTTTCAAAGTAATAAGGATAGATACATTTCACACAGGAACTGCTAAAAGCTAATTCTGCATAATTTTAATGGTGCCAATTGGATAAACTGTAAACAAATACTGGGTAAAACTACCTGTAGCTGACATTACAGCAACCCATTTGATGAGATTGTATGCTGTCTTGTTCTCCTGATGGCTAGTGCTGGGCGATGTGGCCTAAAAATAAAAAATGTTCACACCGCATTCAATTTACAAACATCACCACATCTGTAATGTCTTATCACTCTGCCCCCTTCTTCTCATATGGCATACTATGGGAAAATTATTCAACATGTCTTGTGTGGGTAAGGGACTTGAGTGGATTGGCACTTGTTATGCAGCAGCTGTATATCCCCACATTATAACATTTGTTGTTTAAATCTCAATTTTACAACATTTTTTGTATCGTTTGAAAATTGATTGAAAATTTAATGTCACGATTATCTTGGCCAGAATAATTGAGAGACACAATATTATCGTCTAAAACATACATCCCCTAAAAAATCTATTGCATCATGAATATTGCATCCTCTTCCTACTCTTTATTTTGGAAGCTATACTATTTCCACACATCTGGTTTAACTTGCTTTCGTGTATTTTATAGTTAGAGGGAAACTGTAGTCAGTTCAGAAAGTAGAACAGTGATAACAGTATCATGTGGTTTGTGCTGTTGATGTAAGTAAAATTTATATTCATAGACAGGTCAGGTCCTTGATGCAAGTGTCTGTGACTGAAAAACTATACGCTTTTTGCACTGCAATTAAAATGTTTAAATAGTGAAGTTAACTCTGTTAAGAAAATTTGCTGTTGATTCTTAGTGAAAGTTTTTAGTGCCTTCACCAAAGTTGAAAAGTTCCACGTGGGAACTGGTCATAGCAATTCCATTTTTTCCAACTTTAAATTTGGCCAAATGGTTGCCCACCCAGTTGAACTGTAACTCTTTCCCCTTGTGCATACACCACAAAATGCCAACCTGGTATCACCACATGGTGTACAAGTCAATATCTAAAGTCATTTCGCATTTCACGTTAGCTTTTTTGCTTTTCGTGTATCCTTTCACGCAATTACTATTGACTTACATTGTGCGACAAGGTGTGTCATTTTATGCACAAATGTCAGAAAAGAAAAAGAAAAAAATGTCAGGTGACACAATACAAAGAGTGACAAAGTATGCCTATGGAGGAGGTTGGATGGATGGGTCAGACAAATGTTCACCCAGTAGACCGCTGTTCCTATACTTATTTATTACTGAAAGCAAAAGTCAACAATGACTTACGGGTATTTGAATTTTTAAATGCTACTAATTTTACAACAATCTAGGTTTTATTTATTGTGTGCTAGTAATAAGCCTTTAATCAGTCCACCAATAAGACGTGTTGTATTAACACACACAAAGGTCAGTCCATTATCAGCTGGCTTAGCCCAAAAAACCAAACATTATTTAAGTTCATGCTTCAAAACGATAATACGATCTGCATTTAAAGATTGCGTTCTAAGAACTCAATATTTGTGCTTGTGGGCTAAAAATGGACTATCTTGCTGTAAATATGCACCCCTCTCCCATCACTACCTCCAACAAGACCCCTAGGTTATTGTACATTCTGCCTGTGTGAAATCAATACACACATCCATTTAGACATTGGCTTGGGTGTATTCTGTTGGAGTAGAAGAAGAAATACTACACCAGTAATGAATGTTAATTCTCATTTATCTTCTCTATTATTCTCCATCATTCAAAAATATGAAATAAAAGAAAATACAATATAGTATCAGTATTCATACAGCATTGTAATATGTATTATACAATAAGTCTTCATAAAGTTATATATAACATATATAAATAGTTGCCCTTTGTGCCTTTGGGTGGATGCATATAGGTTGGAATGTATTGGATGCACCGATTTATTAATCCTGCTGTCTCTAACTAAACCAAATCATATCATGTATATACAGTATGAATACGTCGTGCAAGTTCCTGGTGAGAGAAGCCTTTATGAAAATAAGCCTTATGCCCCAGGGGAGAATTCTAACCCCGATAAGCTGATACTGTAGCAAGTAAAACGAGTTCAGTGGTGATGGCCATTATTTTTTCATATACATGAGAAAAAATATCTTTCTCTGACACACACACAAAAAAAGCACAGTCCCATGCATAAAGCAAGGCCCAGCTCATACAATATATATGAACCTCAAGTTGATAGCAGTAGTATTTTCTTTGCACAAACCTCTGGTGCTTTCTGTATAAGTAGGCTGCTTAATCAGAGGCCAATTGCAACCATTATCTCAAATCACTCAATTTAAAAAAAAAAACTAGGCTGTGAAGAATTAGTATCTGCAGCTTTCCATTGCTCATCTTTAACATAAGGGAATTAACACTTAAAAACCATAAAAACGCACAGTGAATATCACTTTCAAATCCCCATTGCCCATAACAGACCCAGCTGCTCTCATTACCGCTGCTGCTTATTGCAAACACTTTTTGCTCTGCTCTGTGATCACAACCAGATACACCAAGATGAAGACAGCTACAAACATCTACATCTTCAACTTGGCTCTAGCTGACGCCTTGGCCACCAGCACGCTGCCCTTCCAGAGTGCCAAATACCTCATGAACACCTGGCCGTTTGGGGAAGTCCTGTGCAAGCTCATTATTGCCATTGACTACTACAACATGTTCACAAGCATCTTCACCCTTACCATGATGAGTGTGGACCGCTACATCGCCGTGTGCCACCCTGTCAGGGCGCTGGAGTTTAGGACGCCGGTCAAGGCTAAGATGATCAACGTGCTCATCTGGGTTCTGTCCTCAGCGATTGGGGTGCCCATTATGATCATGGCTGTGACCAAAGTGACGGATAGTGGTGAGATAATGTTTCCTTCCACTGTTTTATCCTCCATTATTAAGTATTTTTGTCTTCCAGAATAGGGTGAGCTGTACAGAGTTGAATGTGTATGATTTACCCAACTGAATCTTTGCCAAAGTGCTGAAGAATAGACGCAGTTCACAGTAGAAAAACCACGCTTTGATCTGTAGAATTTGCATTTATTAGGCCAAGCTTCTGGTCCTTAAGACCTTCATCAGAGCTTACATGGAACACAAAGGAAAAGCAAGAATAATGGTTATTATGATCCACTTTGGATTCTCAGACTTTAAACATAAAACATAAAACCCTCCAGTGAAACTGATCATATTTTATATTCAGTAGTAGTTCAGGGTTGTTTTGGGGGGGAAGTGTACTACTTTACTGCTTACCCAGAGTCACAAAATCACCCAGATGTTTTTTTTTGTGTCTTTTTTTAAGGCCTTTTGAATGAGTAGCCTTTAAATGTGAACAAGACATAAGGGTGAAGAAGTCGTAGTGCTATTTTGTGTGAAAGACTGTAATTTGTGTCGCATCACTGACTTGCAATTAGCATTCACTTTCTTTTCAGCCAGAACGTTGATCTTTTCATTACCTTAACAAATTGCTTAGTTGCCTAACGTTCTCCATCCATACTCCATCTGAAGTGCTAGCCAGGTGGTTAAATAGGTCTCACCTTTGAGTGTGGCTGTTTGGAACAGCTACAAACACTTTTGCCTTCCAATGTAGGAAGATAGCACGTTGCATGAATCGAGTATACTCTTCTCGAGTATAACCCAGCCCTAACCACACCTTAACTGCAGTTTATAAGTCTTTCCCTTAATCAAACTATGGATGCACAAATACTGTATACATTTATTTAATAAACGCTGGCACAGAAAGTCATCATCCAATATAAATGTTCTGGCTACAGGGTTGGAAAAACACAGACAATTGTCTGTACACATAGAATATATTATACATTCTTGATAGTCTTTCGTTTGTACAGCAGCAACAGTAGTGGTCTTGAAGTTTGTATTGTGAGTACAGATGAGTGAGTGCAGACGTTTCTCCATAGCTTTGGCTTTTTAAATCCACAAACCGATACTACCTGCTCTCTTTCCAGGTAAAACCATGTGCATGCTGAAGTTCCCTGACCCTGACTGGTACTGGGACACAGTGACAAAGATCTGCGTCTTCATCTTTGCTTTTGTGGTTCCTGTGATGGTCATCACCATATGCTACGGCCTGATGATCCTGCGTCTGAGGAGTGTTCGTCTGCTCTCAGGCTCCAAGGAGAAAGACCGCAACATGCGCCGCATCACCCGCATGGTCCTGGTCGTAGTGGCAGCCTTCATCATCTGCTGGACCCCCATTCACATCTTTATCATTGTGAAGACCATGGTGGAGATTGACACCAGGAACCCCTTTGTGATAGCTAGCTGGCACCTGTGCATCGCCTTGGGCTACACCAACAGCAGCCTCAACCCTGTCCTCTACGCATTTTTGGATGAAAATTTCAAGCGATGCTTCAGGGATTTCTGCCTTCCCTGTCGAACCCGCGTGGAGCAGCACAGCCTCACCAGAGGCCGCAACACCACCAGGGAGCCGGTGTCCGTCTGTGCTCCAACAGAAGCGGGGAAGAAGCCGGCATGACTAGGCATGGACTGGGTCCCCCACAGCTCTCGCTCAAGGAGGATCCAGCAAGATTTGCAATCAGAGGTCACCCAGATCTCCACAACAGAGTTTTAAGTGATCTTCCCAAGAAAAAGCTAGTCTCAAAAAAATGACTGCTTATTCTCTCCAATTTGGCTGACGTACGGACATTCAAAGGAATAGCTAGAGATAATGGAAAATAAGTTTAACTCTGATCTTACCTTTCTATTGAAGTTCTGACAACAAAGTGGAATATTTGTCTCACAGGAAATTTAACGCCTTATAAGGGCAGTGACAGTATACAGTAAAAGACTTTATCCAAGTTGTAAAGCAAGATTATGAAAGCAGAAAATCCCCAGCTCATAATTTGTCTGCCCAAAGGACCAGAGTACAAGAGTACTTTTTGATGATGCAAGAAGGACAAAGAAACACCAACAGGTTTCTATAGTTGTCAAGCAAAGAATGCATTATTCAGACAGCATCCTTCAAAGTGCATTGTAAGACAATAGACTGACTGTCAGGATGAAACACGCAACAAAAAACAGAAAGGTGAAACAATTAGCTTTTCAATTCAAATATTTTCATCATTTCTTCTAAGTATCAAATTAGATTTTGGTGATATATGATTATTTTGAAGGAGAAAACTCATCTGTATTTTTAACATTAACGGAAAACAAATGAGACTTACAGAGCAGAACCACACAAGTGATACCCACCGACAGCTGGATGATGAATTACAGAATAGGCTGTTGCACAACAAGGTCAACCAGAAAGATAACTCCTCTCTGGTATTCTGTGTGATTCAGCCAACCTCTTTTTTGTTATCATTTTTTACAGCCAATAAAGACACTTGTTCTTTATTTTTTCCTTTTACACTCTGCCGCCATCAACTGTGTTATGAGAAATTTGGGACTCACGGTTCAGTACATTTCAAAATGTGTCATAAAGGACATGAAATCGTAATCAAGCTTTGTTTTGGGGGTTTTGTGCACAGATGGAAAAATCCACATTAGCATCAAACCACTGAAACTTGGATTTCTATGGACCTCTTTTCTGCTCACATACTTGACTTTCATGGCCACTGTCAAGCCCACAGAGATCCTCTGAGCAGAATCACTGAATAATGATAAACCTGCCACTGAAGAAGACTGTCGACAGTCACAACTGTCAGCTTATTGTGTGTTACCCCGAAACTCGGACTGAGAGCAGCTTCATCACAGTGTAGAAAACAGCCTGTCCTGATGTCAACAAACACACTGCTTCAAGGAAATTATTGATCTGCATTTTAAATGAGCAAAAAGGCGACCATGTGTCACATCGAATATAGTAACACACTGAAGACACAGCTAATGGCATAAACCAGAGTGGTAATTTATTCTAGGTAATTTATTTACTTCAACAGATCACACCAATCAAATTGGAGATGTCTATCAATAGATACTGTGAAGGTTAATGGTCGTATCAACCTTGCATACCAGATGAGGTATGTCAGAGGTACTAATGCAGAGTTTTCTGGAAATATTTTGATGGTTAAACATGCGTTGACATGAAAACATGTCCAAATATGCCACATGTTTGATTAATGTTGAAATGTTCAGTTGGCATTGCGACAAATGTGGAACAGATTAAACTTCCAAACTGAATAGTAATCGAGAGGGTGTCGTATGTTGTTCAGATTACAAAGCCCCTTAAGGCTAGTTTCTGATATGGGGCTATATGTATATAATTAAGGAAAAAAAATGTGAATTTGTAGATAAAACCAAGCTTCTGCATTTAAAAAAAAATTGGCTTCTGCCACGGTTAAAATGACTTTGAAGTGTATCAGTGATTCCGTACGCTTTCTTTAGACTTTTTGGATTGTAATATTTCACCACAATGCTTTTGACTCATGTGGCTTAAATGAAAAAAAACAAAAATAAGAAAACTGAGATGGAAAGACAACCATCCAATGCTTGGAAATGGATTCCTGCTCTGTTTACAGATTCAGAAATTTGCTTGTGGGTTGACTGTAGTTACCCACAGAGACAGGAAGAGAGACAATAAATATTGTCTATTCTGTGTGCAGTAGGAGGCTAAAATTTTTGCAGTATAATACATTCCTGCATATTTTCCTATAATGACGGTGGTGATTTAAAATGTACTGTATATACCCGCTTTCTTCTTAGCTTCAACCAAGTGCTGCATCTGTCGGGTGTGCAGGATATCTCTCAGCCACCATTACTTTTGCAAATTCAAGTTTTAGAAATGCAGAATGACAGAAATGTACAGAACTAGTTTTACAAAAAAAGAATGCCATGGGTGTACAAGTTTTATTTTTTGACAAATTAACAAAAGCAAAACAAAATTACTTCTAATAAATTAAGAGATTTCAAAAAACTGTAATAAACCATGTGAATTCAGGGTACAATCAAAGTTAAAGTGTGTGGGTGTGTGTCCATGATTTTCAGTTTATTATCACATGTGAATGGCCAATTTAAAAACTGTTTCCTTATGTAATTTCTCATCACAGTGTATAAGCAGAATTACTCTCATTGATAATACTTTGTTCAAACTGTTTCAATTGTTGTTTGAAGCTATAGAAAACATGTCATTGTTGTCATTTATCTGCGTGATCGAGTCCAAAAGAAACAATCAGTAATATTTTAATCCCAAAGTGACAATAACAAACTAGCGGAGGCATCCAAGTGTCACTGATCAATGCTGGTCATCCAGTGTTGCCCTAATGGCAACAGAGGTTTCAAGCTTCACAAACAGCAGTCTGGCCCACACCCTGGGTTATTTTAATACTAAACTCTTCCCCCCATCATAACCTTCACTATCTTTAAATATAGAAGGACAAACAGTATCTCAACAAGCTGTAATAAAATAATTTGTGTTCTCCCTGGCAGCTCTTCATCACAATATTACACAGTGAAACAAAATGACAAAATTAATTAGATTAATGAGGCAAACAGACGGCACTCCATCAAAAATAATTATTCAAAGATCTTCCCTGGAATGAGCTTCGGTCACAGGAACCTTCATCGGAGCTTTCGTTTTTCAGAGCAGGCATTAAACCATTTCACATTAGAAAAACTGAAAGTAGCTGATCAAATAATATTAATATCTCAAACCACATATAATTTAATGCAGTGCTGTAGTCAAGACCACCTTTGTCAAGTCCAAGACCAGGACCAGTCAAGGCAGGGTCCAAATAGGTTTGAGTCCAGTAGAGAGACAGAGTTAAGACTGAGACAGAAACAAGAATAAGTTTGCCATTACCAATGAGATGTTTTGGCAGCCAGGCATACAATAAGTGACACTGATTGGCGGCCAATGTTAATTTCTGAGACAATTCCTAGTGCAAATACCAACGAGTCAGAGACAATAGAAAAAACGTCTCCAGCCTGAGACTGGACTTGAGTACTCAGGCACTGGTACAATGAGACAATGTTTAATCTCCCTCACCCTCCCTCCTCCTGCCTTCTGGGCCTGTGACTCTGTTAGCTGGCAAATTTCAGCAAAAAAAAGCCAGTTAACATATTCAGTTGAAAGTTTCCAGTCAACAGGCTCACTCCTTAAACTGAAACACTGGTGAGCTACAGGACTGCAATGCCACAGCTGTGGCAAACTGGGATTATTAGCGGACCTTTCGGTGTTTCTCATCATGTAAAACAAATACTGAATATGACATGATGATGTGACATCACGTGCAGTTGTGGTGGTGGCTTGCCATCCCGTGCAGTTGGCTTCTCAATAGCGCTACTTCACTACTGCGATTGTACTGAGGTCAGCAGTAAAGCACATTTATATACTACTCATTTGCATTCATTTAATGCTGTTTAATGCTTGATGTTTGAGGAAAAGTATACAATGAACCTGTTTGGCAAGCCACAAAAAGTTAAAAAATTCAAAGGTGCAAACTCTGTAACTGTAAATGGTTACACTGACCTGAAAGGATTCGTAAATTCCAGCTCTAAAAGCCCTCTATAAAACCAGTACCACATATGAATAAGCTAGGGACTCTTAAGAAGACTACAGTATGTTTTTGACTTTGTTAAGCCCTAAAGAAGCCACCCATCTTATATTTCTTCTTACCACAACTTTGTGTTTGGTACTACATTAACACCTAGCTAACCCAAACCTTTGACCTTTAACAGTAATTAATCAATATATCCCATTTCTGCCTCCTAAATGTTACACACTGGACCTTTGAGATCTGGTCACGCATTTAAATAGCAAAATATCCCAGCAATTCAGTTCCTTCCACGATTTACTCACAATCAAACTAAATATGCACATTTTTGCCCAATTTTTCATTTTAAAGCGCTTTGAGTGGTCGGAAGAAAGGAGCTATACAAGTACAGGCCTATTTACCATTTGAGGGTCAAAGAGTCGAATCCAAAATGGAGGAAGCTATTGTAGTTTAGTAGCTGTTATGCACCACTCACTTTTATTTAACCTTATCTGCCAGAGTCAAAACTGTCCCACAAAAGGATAAGTTTGGTGACAATTATGAGACAGGAATTGACAGTACAAATACATTTTTTTAGACTCATTGTCCCGTTAATGACCGAGCTAAGCTAATAAGCTAATGAGCCTGCTAACTGACTTTTAGTAAGCTTGGAAGAACGTTTTGCAAATTTTTTATTGAACCACATGGTGCACAATGCAGGGGCGGATCTAGAGAAATATTCATGAGGTGGCCAGAGGGGGACACAGAGAATCTAAAGGGTGGCAGAAATATATGCTGATTTAATCACAATCACATATTAGAAATCAAAAATCATTTTTTTTCATGTCTTTATTAATTGTCAAGTCCATCACTTAGTCTAAAATGTGTCCATAACAGATAATTAAATGAATTAAATCGTGTTCATTTTCATCTTTTAACATGCTTTTTATTTATTTATCATAATTAAGTGTTAAATTTGACTTTTTAGCCACCAAACTGGGGTGGCCAGGCATTTCTTAGCATGTAACCCTGCTAGATCCACCTTTGGCACAATGTCGAACAAAGTGGCCAGGAGTGGAAAACAGAACAGCAGAGAG